TTGGAAGCTGGGAGTGTTGCTGGACAAAACAGCTGCATTTAATAAGGCCCCAATAACAAAAGGCAAGATATTGCAAATAGCTGATAAGGACTGGAAGTCCAGCCATCCCTTGCATAGGTCCAAATAGTCAAAGGCAGATATCCAGCAGGAAAAAGGTCTCACTGACTGAGGATGGAAGATAGTGCACAGACCCTCAGAGATCTTGATCCTATAAAAAGCCCTATAAAAGCTCAGGCAGACCAGAACAGTGGCATGATGCTGCACATTGTTGGCCTGTGGAGTTCTTGCTATTGTTTTCTGCAGTTCCCATAGAAGTGTGAGTTGGTCTCTGAGATGTACCTTATTAGGCCAGGTCCACATGGTCTAGAATACTCAGAGTAGCCCAGAATATTCCTGCCTTGGGATCCTCTGTTGCAACACCTGCTGTGCTGCCCAATGCCACTTTTGCCACAATGAGTTCCTCACTCTGAGGTGAGAACGAGGTGCCCAGCATTGATCACATCGCTGGGTATCTTCTTCTTACCTCAGAGCAATTGACTTGTTGTGGTGGCAGCTGTGCCAGGCAGCAAAGCAGCACCAATTTTAAACAGCCACCTGACATTGCAACAGAAGGCTCCAGGTCTTCCAGGAGGATCTGGAGTAAATTGTGAGCTATTTAAGAGAAGTGTTCAATGGGTTCCATGGCGAACTCACCAGATGTTGTTCAGACTGTTTGCACAAGAACCAAGAACTGAACTGTGTACAATGCAGACTCATTACTGTGGAAATGGGGGGAGATTGTTTTATTTGTTCCAGGCAAACAAGGTCCCAGTTGTAGGACTTGCTTTTGATAGAAGGTTTGTCTATCAAATGTAAAGGTTTCCCTGATAGTTAATAAATATGCTAAGCCTTCCATCCACGGGCATATTTATTGTTTCCAAATCCAAAATAATTTCTTACTTTTTGCAAAACACCCTTGTGAACAGAACATCAAATTATATGAGCCTTTGGACTGATCTAACATAGCTTTTGTTGTGCTCTTTAGGTCAAGGTACACAGAGAGAAAATACTGGTGGATTAGGCCTTTATTTCATGCTCTGCCATATGCATCTAAAGTATGGAAAGGCAGTCAACTTAAGAAGAATTTGCAATTCAGCATCTAGAGCTCTCAAGTTCCTTTGCCTCTTCCCCCTCCCTGTGCACACCCTGGTCTGTAAGTGAGCTGAAAGATTGCTTACACCCACATCACTTTGTGTAGTGTTCTGAGAGCTCCTTAGTGTGAGAAGCACTTATCAGATTTAAACCTGTGAAGGGATATTAAAAGATAATTATCCCTTTTCTTCCAATTAAGCTGAGCTCTGTCAAGCCTTCTGCTATGAAAATGTGACATTTGTGATAGAAGTTAAGCTGCAGCAGGTGCCTGCTCTGTTTCAAGCATTGTTGAAAGCACATGAATGGCCCGAGACAGTCCAGATACAGCTTTTGCTCAAGGCAAAAACCATCTCTCTTGAACAGAGTTTTCATTCCAGGTGATTGCTAATTGGAAAATGCACATTCACTGCATAGCTATGATTACATGGCAAGCAGTTTGGTTTCCATTGTGATCTATGGTTCATTGCTAACTGGTGTTTATTTTTAAAACAAAATCAAATAAAAGGAGTCATATAGTTAACACATCTGTGTCACTATCCTGTATGTTCAGTACAGCATAGTAATTCTGCATGTAGAACTTACACAATACCTAGCTATACACCACCTCTGGACTTACTATAAAGTTATTGCAGCCTCCCCCTGCCCCCAATCATTCCATGCCTGTTCAGAGTGATGGGGATCAGAGAAGCATCTGACCCCAAAGCCAGACCCTGAAATGTTTACATCCTCTGCTGAGATCTTCTGGGGTCTTTAGAAGTCTCATTGAATGATTAATAATTTCACATCTGGTTACAGGGACATAGCCAGATGCTTCTCCAATCCCCCACAAGTCTCCACTAGGAGACTTCAGTGGCTATGGTAGGTTCAGGGATGGCTTTGGTCACTGCGGAGGGAAGAATACCAGCCTCCGCATTGAACAAAAAAGGGATAAATACAGCTATAAAGTTGTAAAGGAGGAGGAGTGAAAATAGGAGGAAGGAATATCAACAATCTAAGATATGCAGATGACACCATAATACTAGCAGAAAACCTCATAGACCTGGAACACCTGCTAAAGAAGATCAAAGAAGAAAGTGCAAAGGCAAGCTTAATGTTGAACATAAAGAAAAAAAAATAATGACTACAAAGGACCATCTCAAGTTCAACCTAGACAATGAAGAAATAGAAATAGTAACAGAATTACCATACTTGGGATCAAACATTGATAGAAATGGGGACTGCAGTCAGGAAATCAGAAGAAGACTAAGAATAGGAAAGATGACAATGAAAGAACTAAAAAAGATTCTAAAATGTAAAGATATACAACTGAGCACAAAAGTTAGAATCATACAAGCCATCGTATTCTCTATTACCGTGTATGGATGTGAGAGCTGGATAGTTAAGAAAGATGATCATGCCACTACTTCAAACTACTTCATGCCATCTTCCCCTAAGGGAAGAAAATCAATTCATTTGAGATGTGGTGCTGGGGAAGATGCAGAGGATCCCATAGATAGCCAAAAAGTCAAACAATGGGTCCTAGAGCAGATCAAGCTAGACACCTCCCTGGAAGCCAAGATGACCAAACTGAGGTTCTCATAGTTCAGACACATCATGAGAAGGGAGGACTAATTGGAAAAGACAATAATTCTGGGGAAGGTGGGAATAGGAAGAGAGGAAGGCCACATGCCAGATGGATGGACTTTATTAAGGAGGTCACAGGTATGGGTTTGCAGGAATTAAGCAGAGCAGTGGAGGAAAGAAGGTCTTGGAGATCTCTCAGTCAAAGGGTATCCATGGGTCAAGATCAACTTGAGGGCACTTAACAACAACAAAAGTTGACTTAGGCCCATGTATGCCACTAACAGAATGCCAACAATGGAGTAGAAAGCTGTTGGTGTGAATTCAACATATGCAAAAGGTCCCCCACAAACCATTGGGCATTTTTTGTCTAATGTGAAACATCTGCATTTACTCCAAGGTTGCAGAAGCAGAACTGCAGTTGTGGTGCCACTGTGTATGCAGACATGTATGCACAAATATATGCACATGGAGATGTGAATGTGCATTCAATTGTGCACCTGATAGCACATTTGGTGTGCATTCAGTTCTACAGATTTGCTATTCAGCAGAAGTTACACACGCAATCAATGTGTAACTCCATATTCAGAATCCTGGTGTAGGATCTTGGACACAGTTGAGAATGAACATTTTTGAAATAAAAGGTAGTATCTTCTAGAACCTGAGATTGCTGAAATCAGTGCTGTAGTGTGAACATTTTATATGCAGAGCTTAATGGTATTACTGAGGGATGGAGCACATACTTCAGGCTCAGATGTTGATGAATTACTACTCCCATCATTCTTAACCACTGGCTAAGTTGGCTAATTCAAACATATTTGAGGGGGTCACAGGTTCCCCAGACAACTTTAATTTGCAATATGTGTTTGTGGGCCTACTTGCTCATTCTTATACTTCAAGTCCTCAACTTTCCCCCCAAAATCCTACTCTGAAGGCATTATGGGGCACAATCTTGAAAGAGTTTCCAATGTTCAGTGTGAGAAGTCTAGGTCTAGAAACCTAGGCATTTATTCCAATTATACATAGGAAGACATTGAAAAAGGAAAGCTTTCAATGTTCAAGCCATTGAAATGACAAACCTTTGAACCTCTGCTTCTCATGATGCTGTAACAGGCATTCCAGGTGGAGGAAATGGTGGCCTTCTTTGTTGGCGAATGGCTGAAGTATGCTAAGGCAAGTTGAAAGCTTGCTTGGGAGCATGAGACATATGCCCTATGAAGACATAAACAGGTTGTGTTCCTTCCCTTTTGGAAAAATGACCATAGAGCATGGGAAGGGTTCCTAAGGGACATCGAACCAACATCTTACCAGACCAGGGACCAACAGCTGAAGTATCCCTGACAGTTGGCCATTGAATCTCTATTTGGAAACTTCCAGTGAAGGAGAGTCCATCACTTCCCAAGGAGGTCTGTTTTGCTGCCAAACAACAATTATGTTCAGCAAGTTCCTCCTAATGTTAGTCAGAATCTTTTCTCCTGTCATTTGAATGTATTAATTCAGGTCCTGTCCCTTGAAAAAAAGGTTTGCTCCATCTTCCATATGATAGCCCTTTGGATATTTGAAGTTGTCATATCACCATTACTCGTAGGTTTCTAGATCCTTTACTATCTTGGTTGTCAGCCTCTGAATGTGTTCCAGTTTGTCTTTTATCCTTCTTACTGTGGTGCCCAAAACTGGACACAGTACTCCAGGAGACACCTGATAAAACACTCTTGGTGAAGACTGACTAAAAAGGATACATTTCCCTTGAGGTCTGATGCAACTCAATCATCTCTCTGCAGCAATGAATAGCCTTTTTATTTAGATAAATTTTTAGTGCCTAGAGATCAATAGACTACATTTAAAATAACAATTGCTAATATTCAAAATCAGTTAACTAGTTACATATATGTAACTAAGTAACATTTCCTGGCCTGACTCCCAGCCCTCCTTAACAGCCAGCAGTCATGTCAAGCAAAGGAAGTCCAGTCAATGTTTATTACCAAACATTTCACTACATGTCAATGCTGTTGAGTAGCTTTTGAAAGAAAGAAAGAAAGAAAGAAAGAAAGAAAGAAAGAAAGAAAGAAAGAAAGAAAGAAAGAAAGAAAGGAAACCTACAACAAAATGTTGCAGAATAGAGTGTTCCTGTTCATCATTTCAGTTAGTCAATCCGATTGTTGGTTTTGTGGGGCTTCCAAGTTGTTTCTGACTTATGGTGACCCTATTGTGGGGTTTTATTGGCAAAATTTGTTCAGAAGAAGGTTGCCTTTGCATTCCCCTGAGGCTGGGAGAGTGTGACTTGTTCAAGATCACCCAGTGGGCCTCTGTGGCTGAGCAGGGATTTGAACCCTGGTCTCAAGAATCATAGTCCAGCTCTCAGACCATTACACCATGCTGGCTCATCCACCTGATAGCCAGATATGTTTTTTTCCAGAACAGTCCCTTCCTTTCTCTTGTCATCTCTTTTCCTTCTAACCACCAGTACTCCACAGCTACTGAGCATGCTGTCATCCATGGGATACTTTTAAGTCCCCCTTCCTTAAGTCCACCCCCAATATTTTTGGTATTTCTAAATATCTTGGGATTTCCTTGAGGTTCACAGCCCCTTCTGTTCCATAAACACTGTGTTATTTTTGTTGGAATAAGAAATGGTACTTACAACTCTGAACTTGAAAAAAAAAGCTGTATTCTAAAGGAAATGCATTATGCAACCCATTATGAAGCCCCTCTACAAGCAATTTGATATTGGTAGCAAAGAAATGTATTACAGTGCACCCACACTAGTCCTTAAAAAAAAAAACACCTTTAGGATTGAGAAGATCATAAACTTGGAAAAACTCTGCTCAAGATGCCTTTTCCTTAATAATATACTTAAAAATACATTAAAAGTAATAAGAATGTTACATCTGGGGGAAAGGAATAACATAATTGCCAGTTTCTAAAATAGCTTTGAACTGTTATTTTGTTACCCAGAGATTACAAAAAAAGTATCTTGTTACAACTAATGATACTATTTGCAGCTTGTTACTTTTGTAGTCTGAATGCCAGAAACAGAGGGGATGATGCCTAAGGAAACCTTTATGGAATCCTTCTGTTAAAAGGATTTATGTCTTCTCTCTTTCTCACAGAGACATATTTATGCCATCTTCAAGGGAAAATTCAGAGAGGTGGCTTTGTATCTCTCTGCCACCCATTTCTGGATTTGTGGAACCTCCTAACCTGACAAAACAGCGTCTTTCTCATGGTTTGTTTTCCACGGAGCCTGTTCAGCATGGATTTGCAGAGCAGAAATAGTTCTCTTTTTCATCTGGTGACTGTAACTTATCTGACCACTTGGGTGAGTATATGAGAGCTCTTGATCTTTAATTAAATTACACCGACAGCAACTGGTGCCTCAACTACCAAGGAAGTTAGCCATGTCACATATAAATGGAACAATGCCTATAATCTAACTAAATACATGGCAATACTGGAGAGGAAAACATCTGTCTTGCTACTCATGTGATACAATTGAATAATAATAATAATAATAATAATAATAATAATAATAATAATAATAAATTTAATTTATATCCCGCCCCTCTGCTGGCCAATCAGAGTGGCAAACAAGATTAAAAAGAACAAAGTTAAAACAATTCCATCTCACCCCCAGTCCCTAACCCACCCACCCCTAAAATTCAAATTAAACCATATTAGAAGTAAAATACAAAACCAGCAGTAATTTAAAACCATTAAACAAACAAACAATGGAGGATGGGAGCAAAGGAACAATCAGTCTCAAATTGGTTGGGAGAGTCATTTGGGGAAGGCCTGTCAGAAAAGATTGAAGCATCACAGGAGTCTCCATCAGGTTTAATGAGCAAAAGGCTGTACCTGTTTTCTCTCTAAAATCCATTCCAGGGAACCAAAACAAATATTCACAGTTTTTCAAATTCCATGGCTCTTCATGGTTATCCAATGAGAAAAACCAAAATGAAACAAAATTCAAGTAAATATTTTGAAAGGGTATTTTTAAAAACACTATGTTTTCAGGCTTCTGGAGGATCTTTTGTTTGGCCGTTGGCTGTGGTGACTGGGGGATGCTGGGGATTGTAATCCAAAATGTAACTTTTCCAAAGTCTGGGATTTAGAGGCAGGTGCCCCAAAGCAGACACCCTAAGGCACTTGGCTCAGGAGGTTGTTGTTGCATATAGTCTAGTCACTTACCTGCCCAGGAGCTAAGCAGACAAATAAAAAAGTATGAACTCTTCTTGAACATGGTCACACAGCCCGAAAAACCCACAAAAAACTATGGATGCCAGCCATGAAAGCCTATGACTTCACATTGGAAATCTCTATGGGGAGAAACTGTTCCAAGACACCCGGAGACTGGAAAAACATCCGGACCAGGAAAGCACATCTACTCTGCTCACTAACTTCCCTGCTAACAACCAAGACTGGGACAAAATTGACAGATATATAGACCCACTCCCTTCCATTCCAGTATTCTCTGAAGATGCCAGCCACAGATGCTGGCGAAATGTCAGAAAGAAACTCTTCTAGAACATGGCCACACAGCCCAAAAAACCCACCAAAAAACCCCTATAGTTTCATCTTCTTTTGTCAAACTAGCAACGCTGAATGGTGTGGTCATCACTGTGAGAACCTTTGTTTAAATTGTTCCTGCTCATATCTGTGACAAAAGTTACAGATTGATGCATATTTGAGAAAAGATACACATGCAAGTGATTGTGATATCACGGTTACCATAAGAAATAACTGCATATCATGAAATTAGCACATACCAACAATGCAAATTGGGCTGCAAACACAATGCAGGGATGTTCAGGGAGGCCAGTGGAGTATTGAAGCCAGACCCTAAGGCTGTTTGTATGCTGACATTGCAGTCAGTGTTCCTTTTGGTCTGTATTTATTTTTATTTATTTTATTTTTAACTCATTTGCATGATCATGGCAATCTATTAAGTAAAAAATAAAGAGAAAATGTTTTAAAGAAAAAGAAAAACAGGTCATTTGAGAATAGCGAGAGGGATGGAGGGAGAGGGGGAAAGGAGCATAATCATGCCCATTCACACATGTGGCTGCCTGCATATATCAACTGCAACAGGAGGATTTATCGCACCTGAATCAAAGTGGGAAAGTAGCACTATTGGAAGGCAATGTGGGTTTTTTCCTGTTAATGAGAAAGAGCACTCCAGCAACAGGGCTACAGACCAGATACTGGACTGATACAGCATCATGTGATAAGGTACAACCACAACCATTGTTATCCTGCTCTAATTCCACTTTTCAACCCTTGTGTGATAAAGTCCCAAGACTCTTAAAGTGGTATCAAGCTGCTATAATTGTGCAGGGTGGATACAGCAAATGATGAGAATTGCATCATGGTATGTTTAGTGATCTAGCAATCATAGCCTTTGGTACTTCTATTAATTTGGAGTTCTCATCTTTTTGGTTTGGCTAATCTAGCAGTCTTCACGCATGGCCCGACTCTCCCTCCTCATTGCCATTTACCAGGCAGTAGCTGCTGTGAGCTACAGAGGTCTGTTCTATGGTTGATCAGGAAGCAGCTGACTGATGCCCCCCCCCCACCAGGATCCTGTCAAAACTCCCTGTCATGCTAGAGATCTCTAGTAGTGGAGGGGGTTTGAAAATACCAACCTGCTGCTTCCTGATCAATGGGGAAACAGATCCCTTTTGCCTGCAGTGGTTGTTGCCTGGTAATTGGGAATTGGGGGACTTTTACTGTCCCTATGTTTTTCCCAAATGTGAATATGTTGGGATTGTGAATACAAACCAATCATAAACATGTAACTCTTGATTATGCATGCATAGCTGCTGTAGTGAATTCTGGTCTATACCCCTAAAGGAAGCATTCTCTTTAGAGAAAATCCATAGGGATATCAAAACACAACTGCACTGTCTTTGGTGGAGTTGAACCGAATTAGACTGTTTCAACACAATTAGACACAAGCTCATTGTGGAGGGGAGGAAAAGTGTATTCCTAATATGAGACTGAGGCTACCAAGCACCACTTCTTAAATGTGACACAGAGGTTGGAAGAGACGCTCCATATTTTCAGAACAAAAGTCTTGTGGCACTGTAGGCTAAACCTATGTATTTTAGCATGAGCTTTGTGCACAGTTCAAGGCAGCTGTAGTCCACAAAAGTCTAGGCCATAATAAATGTGTCTTTATGATGCCATAAAACTTGTCTGTTTTTCTGGAACCCACTGAAATTCCACATTTTAATGTCACATAATTATTTGAGGTTTTGTCTTTTTTTAAAAAATAAAAAAACAGAACAGATATACATCATGTATCAAATTGTTGTTGCTGTGTACCTTCATTTTCCACTTATGGTGACCCTAAGCCAAGCCTATCATGAGGTTTTCTGGGACTGAGGATGTGTGACTTGTCCAAGATAGCTAATTTGATATGGTAGCCATCTTTAAATATCTGAGTCCACTGGTTCATGTTCTAGCCTCTGAGGCAGCAGAAAGCAAGCTTGCTCAACCTTTTATATGACATCTTCAAAGAAAAGAGATTGCACCTAATTATTAGGAAGAACTTTTTTACTTTAAGAATTGTTCAACAGTGGAATGGATTGCCTCAGGGGGAGGGGGATTGGACTTGCCTTCTTTGGAGGTCTTTAAACAGTTTGGATGCTATGTTTCAGGAATGTTATCCCTCTGTGGCAGAACGTTAAACTAAATCAGTGGTCTCCAAACTTTATTGGTCTGGAAGCCACATCCTATGAGGAGAGGCTTAGGGAGCTGGGAATGTTTAGCCTGATGAAAAGAAGGTCAAGAGGTGACATTATAGTCATGTTTAAATATTTGAAGGGATGTCAAATCGAAGAGGGAACAGTCTTGTTTTCCATGGCTCCAGAGACTAGGACAAGGAGCAATGGATTCAAACTACAGGGGGAAAAGATTCTACCTAAATCTCAGGAGGAACTTCCTAATGGGCAGAGCTGTTTTGGCAGTGGAATATGCTGCCTTGGAGTGTGGTGGAGTCTCCTTCTTTGGAGGTTTTTAAACAGAGGTTGGATGGCCATCTGTTGGGGATGCTTTGATTGGTGCTCTTGCTTGGCAGAGTGTTGGACAGGATGGCCCCTGTGGTTTCTTCCAACTCTATGATTCTATACTGCCCCTTTTCTCTTGGGCAACAACTCTAGTGCCCTCCCATGCCTATTTCTTTATATTAGGTCTACTTTTTGTGCAGCAGCTACTCAGCCAGAGGTGTCTATCTCCACCACACCCAGCTCACCACTGCCTCCTCCTCCAGCTCAGCCTCTAATGTGTGAATACATCAGTGGCAGCAAACCAGGCCTACTCCTCCCTCTTGCTTGCACAGGTCTTACAGCAAAAGGCCGGCTAGCCAGCCAGCTACTTGGTT